ACTTCAGATAGAGCCCTAATATCCAGAGTATACAAAGAACTCAAAAAATTAGACAATAAAATAACAAACAACCCAATCAACAAATGGGCCAAGGACCTGAACAGACACTTCTCAGAGGAGGACATACAATCAATCAACAAGTACATGAAAAAATGCTCACCATCTCTAGCAGTCAGAGAAATGCAAATCAAAACCACCCTAAGATACCATCTCACTCCAGTAAGATTGGCAGCCATTAGGAAGTCAAACAACAACAAGTGCTGGCGAGGATGTGGGGAAAAGGGTACACTTGTACATTGCTGGTGGGACTGCAAATTGGTGCAGCCAATTTGGAAAGCAGTATGGAGATTTCTTGGAAATCTGGGAATGGAGCCACCATTTGACCCAGCTATTCCCCTTCTCGGTCTATTCCCTAAAGACCTAAAAAAGAGCATGCTACAGGGACACTGCTACATCAATGTTCATAGCAGCACAATTCACAATAGCAAGACTGCGGAACCAACCTAGATGCCCTTCAATAGACGAATGGATAAAAAAAATGTGGCATTTATACACAATGGAGTATTACTCTGCATTAAAAAATAACAAAATCATAGAATTTGCAGGGAAATGGATGGCATTAGAGCAGATTATGCTAAGTGAAGCTAGCCTATCCCTAAAAAACAAATGCCAAATGTCTTCTTTGATATAAGGAGAGTAACTAAGAACAGAGTAGGGTTGAAGAGCATGAGAAGAAGATTAACATTAAACAGGGATGAGAGGTGGGAGGGAAAGGGAGAGAGAAGGGAAATTGCATGGAAATGGAAGGAGACCCTCAGGGTTATACAAAAGTACATACAAGAACACAACAGACACTAGTATGGCAATATGAAAGGTATTTTTAGAGGTTCAGCTTTAATAAAGAAACCACTACAACATAAATCTTAAAAATATAATTATAAAAGCAGCTGGGCATGGTAGCACACTCCTGTAAATCCCAGCAACTCAGGAGGTTGAGGCAGAGGATCACAAGTTTGAGGTCAGCCTCATCAATTTAACAAGATCCTGTCTCAAAATAAAAAAGTACTGGGGATATGGCGCAGTGGTTAATTGCCCCTGGGTTCAATTCCTGGTACCAAAAATAGATAGATAGATACATAGATAGATAGATAGATAGATAGATAGATAATTAAAGGCAAACCAGATGTAGTGGTACACAGCTGTAATCCCAGGTAATCGGAAGACTAGGACAGGAGGATTGCCAGTTCCAAGACAGCCTGGAAGATTTAGTAAGACACCACTTAAAAACATTTTTATAAATAAATAAAAAACAGGGTAAAGACGATTGATTTGACTAATATACAATAAAGTCATTATAAAATAAATTCTAATTATGTGTAACATATACGCTATATATGCTTTATGTATATTTATTTATATATTTGTCTTATATGTGTGTGTGTGTGTGTGTGTGTGTGTATATATATATATATATATATATATATATATATATATATATATATATATATATATATATATAAACATATATGACATAGAAAGTATGTGAAAACTTTTATTACTCTCTGATGCCAGGTACCATTCTGTCAGTTTTGGGTACCTCATCTAATAAGATCATATTGATTGGCTGATATTTTGAGGCACCAATTAAACATATAACTTGTAAATGAATTTGAATTCTCCTTAAGCCAAAAAGAAAAACAAAACAAGCATACGTGAATGATGAGTAGTATTTTAGCTTCAATAATTTTAGAATGCAAATATATCATAAAGGGATGTTTCAGACACTAAACTAATAAAACACAGTCAATCAAATATTAAAAGATATTGAGAAACAACAACAGGAAGTATTACAAGAAACATACCCAGTGGAGATGCATAAGAGAAAACCCTCGTCTACTCATTCGGTTTCTTATCGGTTCTATAGGTTTAGCAGTGGAAAGCCCCCACCCCTTTGTATTTATCTTTTTGCCTGAATGAGTTCAATTTCACTTAGATTAGGAGAGAAATTTCAGAAGAGCAGGTTAATCCATCCTGTCTTCATGGGCAACTGAGCAAACAGACCAATATCAGTGTAAAATTGTAATTCTGGAGATTAATGTTGTCTTTTCTATTTTTGGTGAATTTGACCTCCTTCACTTTTTTTTTTTCTCTTTTTCTTTTTCAGCTTCTGTCCAGGGTCCCTGGGAGAGAGCCATCTCACCAAACAAAGTGCCCTACTATATCAAGTAAGTTGAAAAATCATATTCTTAAGGGAACATTTATTGTAGCTAATCCATGTATTCACAAGTGAATTTATTTTTAAAATACATCATTAGCCTTGCCTATGATACCTATTTCTTTCCTTAGAAAGCTTGGATAGTAAACTCATGCTAAAATTAGCACTGTAAATTTGCTGATGCAATAGGAAACTACTTTTAAGAAAAATTCATTTAATGCAACATATATATGGTATGGTTTGGGGGAAGGGATCCATAATTTTCACAATAGAACAAAAAGCTCCTGATAATATTATTGATGGTGGAAGTGAATGTTTCACAGAAAGCTATTCGTCTGTTTTAGGGATTATTCTCATGTCATCTTCAGAGCGATACAAACTTCTGCAGTTGTATGTGCACAAACTGTTTTAGGTAAAAGAATCCTTCATGTATCCCAAAGGCAGAGAGTAGCAGTCCTGGATTTGTAGAGCTTAGGTGTTCATTCTTGATATGTAGCACTCAGTATTTGTTACCTAGTAACAACATCAGAGTGGTACTGTTTTCTGGGATCATTTGTGCCAGTCAAAAGAATAGTCAAAGGAAGGATGTGTGAAATATGAATTATGATGCATTAGGTTGACATGGACAATGGAGAGGAGAAAAGATATTGAGTTATTATGATACTTTAACAGTCTGTCATCAATCGTGCAGCGGAATCTAACTTAAAGTTAACTTTGAATTGGCTCCCCCAACAACAATTGGAAGTAATTGAGTTCATGAAACACTCTTCAATACCAACTGAAGTCTTTGAACTTGCTTCTGCTATGAGTCTGCAAATATTAAATGTGTTCTCATTTTTTCAGCCTGCCATCTTTTATTGAGTGTGTTTTTATTCTTCAACTGCCCATCAATTCTTCATAATTCAGTTCTAAAGCAATAACAGCAGTCCTAGATCTTCATTACTACAGTTTTCAAAAAATTTGATTTCATGCTTCTATTTTAACTCAAAAGAATGGGAGTGAAGGGACTCTTTTGGTTCTTCAAGGAGAGACATATCCTTTAGGAAATGGTTTACCCTTTGTCTTATTAAATTTTTTCAGATGAGATATCTCTTAACTTTAAAAATTCTCCTTTAATATTCCTTGAGCCTCCGTTTCAATTTTTCTGTTTTGCTTTAATTTTTTATTTGGGTTATATCTAATTTATTTCATGACTCTAAATTACTTTTTATTATTTATTTATTTACTTATTTACTTATTTATTTGCTATACTAGGGATCAAATTCAGTGGACTCTACCACTGAGCTACATCCCCAGTATTTTTTTTTTTTTTGAGTCAGGGTCTTGCTAAGTCACTAAAGTACTCCACCATGCCCTGCTACATGACATATTTTAATCACATTTTATTAAATAATATATTGATTTAGGCATGCACCATATGGCGTTATGTTCACATGTTGTATGTGTGTATGTGTGTGTGTAGTTTATTCAGTTTTTTTTGATTCTTATTTTTTTAGTTGTAGATGGATGCAATACCTTTATTTTATTTTTTACGTGGTGCTGAGGATCAAACTCAGTACCCCACGCATGCAAGGCTAGCACGCTACCACTGAGCCACAACCCCAGCCCTGTTTTTTTTTTTTTTTATGGTACTAGGAATTGAACCCAGGGCCTTGTGCATGTTAGGCAAGTGCTTTACTACTGAGTATATCCCCATCCTTTTTTTTTATTTTGAGGCAGGGTCTCCCTAAGTTACCCAGGCTGGCCACAAACTTGAGATCCTCCTGCCTCAGCCTCCTCAGTGCTGGGATTATAGTCATGGGCCACCACACCCAGCTATCCTTTCTTTATAAACTGAAATTAAGACTCTTTTTCTCCTTTTGTGGATGAAATTTTAGGACTACCTGAAAATCAGAGACACCTATAAGCTATTGTTTAAATGTCTCACAGAGATTCCTAGCCCCATCCCCATTCCCAATTCCACCGTTCTTTTCCTGAATACTTATCTTCTCCTCCCTCCTATTACATATAATACAAGAAATCCCAGTATGTTGCTGTAGGAAAGTGGAGATTAATTCAGTCCAAAAAATTAAGTATTATCCAGGTGTGATTCTGCAAGCTTGTAATCCCAGCAGCTCAGGAGGCTAATGCAGGAGGATCTCATCTCAAGTTAAAAGTCAGCCTCTGCAATTTAGCAAGGCCCTAAGCAACTCAGTAAGACCCTGTCTCTAAATAAATTACAAAAAAAGGCCTTGGGATGTGGCTCAGTGGTAAAGCACCCCTGGGTTCAATCCCTGGTACCAGAAAGAAAAAAAAAATAAATAAAAATGAGACAAGTTCTTAAAAAGCTGTAATTCCCCCTTTTCCAGTAAATTAGTCTCTTGCCTTCATTACAGTTAGAGAGCAGCTACGTGCCCTATTTGTTCAATGCTCCTTCATATCTTGAGCGTCTTGGTGGTGGGTATTATTGGTTATGGGCATAGATCTGTGAACAAGAAAACTCAGATTCTGGTCCTAGCTCTGATGTTATTTGACTGTGTTGTCTTGGACAAGTCATTAAGCCACTTAAACTTTGCTTTCTCATTTATAAAATAAGGAGTTTGTATGATATCTAAGGTCCTTTCAGTTCTCAGAATCAATGATTTGACTCATTCAATGGACTTGTTCAAACTTTTGTTCAAGAATTTTATCATTCTATTTTAAAATTCATTATTTGAATTGCTAAGTCTATATATATTTTTTTTCTTATTTTTCTACTGCTTTGCCGCAGTCTGGCTGGGCACACAATCACGAGCCACCACACAGCTTGTAGATTCAAACAGCAACTCTTTATTCCCGAACTCACACCAGCCGTCTACAATCACGTTCTGGGGAAATCCACGTTCTCTGCCCAAATCCACGTTCTCTGGGCTTCTGTCTCCCAAAATATACTGTCTGAATCCCGTGAGAACTCAAGGGGAACTCAGGCAGCAGGATACGCCCTATTCCCAGCAGGAATAATCTTAAACCTTAAACCTGGAACCTAAACTGGGAACGCCCTAAACAAGATTATCTTAAAACCGGGAACACCCTAATCTGCCTTGGTCCTTGAGCAAGGTTAAGTACATTCAATGTTACTGCAACATGGGGTATGCTGGCAAGGAAATTGTCATACCTACTTGGCTAATGGCTCCCAGCATCTCCCCCCTTCTGATTAATTAAACAACAAACAATGTGGCTTAAGGACCGTGCCTGGTAGGTTGTCCAATTCAACATATGGTTCTTACCCGTCATCGGAAAACTGACCTTTAGGCGTCAGCCTCCTGTCTTAGGTTGATACCACTGCAATTGAATCATACCCGTCACTGACTACCGGTCCAGCATACAGCCATACTTGTGGATAGGTCTATGCACCAGTGGGGGGGTGAGGTTCTTTGCCTCACCTCTGTTGGCCCCCAAATTTGGCCTTGGTGCCAGTGGGGGAGTGAGGTTAATGTGGCTTATGGACCGTGCCTGGTAGGTTGTCCAATTCAACATATGGTTCTTACCCGTCATCGGAAAACTGACCTTTAGGCGTCAGCCTCCTGTCTTAGGTTGATACCACTGCAATTGGATCATACCCGTCACTGACTACCGGTCCAGCATAAGCCATTGGCCCCCAAATTTTAGACCATCACTAGCAGAAGGGAGGAGGATACAGAAATGCCACGACACCAAGCCAATTGACGGCTCTTTGGGAAAAATTGCATCACTGGTGACACCATCAGCAAAGATATGCTAGCATTACCACAATTCGCTGCACCAAACGATAGTTACATAGTCCAGGCAAGTTCTGCAAGCAGTTCAAAGCAGAGGAATCTATCAATATGTCCATTTCCTCCCAAAATCCGTTTCCTCCCAAAGTAAGTTGACTCTTTGAGCATTACTTGTTGAGTTCTTCACCGGCACTGGGATGGAGATAGGAATTCTGTCAATGATGCTAAAGAGACATTATCCTGAAAAGAATTATTAAATATAATGAAAAGGAAAGGTGAAAGTAAACAAACAGATCTGTTAACCTACTTTAAAAACAATCCTTAACAGCTTTTTACCTAATTTAAATTAGTAAACAAACAGATCTGTTAACCACCTTTAAAAACAATCCTTAACAGCTGTTTACCTAATTTAAATTAAACCATTTAAATCACGTGAATAAAAAAAATAATAATAATTCGGATCCATTTTTTCATGAGCGCTCCTCATATAAGAAATATGGACATACGCACATACAGACATACAACACAAAACACAAGAGTGTACACAAACGTACAACACATAAGAAAATAGTAAAGGCCTTGTAGCTTTACCTGGGTGAAATCTCCATTGCAATGTTTAAAAACTCCACAGTCAAAAAATAAAACTGATCAGAAAAACATTAACCTAGGTTTGTATGAGCTCAAAAAATAAAAATAGAACCTTATGATGTGGAGAAATGCAATAATAAAATAGCTATTGAAAAAAAGCATCCTGGTTAATCACTGTCGCAGATGTAAGAATGGCCAAGCTGGAGTTCTGGATATCAGCTGTTATGGATTTGAGTCAAATCATCTTCTTTTCGATCTGTAGAAACTGTTTTAGTTAATCTCTCTGGAATCCAAATGGGCTGCTGTTCTCCCTGTGGAAAAACACAAACAGACCCCCGACTCCAGACAATCACTGGGTCAGGACCTTTCCATTGTCCTGTTAGAATATCTTTCCAAAGTACTTTAGGCTTATGTACATTTTTTGGATACATATGCCTTTCCGCAGCACTAAGTCCTGATGAATCCAAATTTAAAAAGTTTAGAGTAAAAAGCGTTATTTTAAGTTTATCTTTGGGGGATATATACCCCCTTCCAATTCCCTCTTTTTGCTTTAATAAGTATGTCTGTATCTAATAGTTGTCTTAGCTTTTTGCATTTTCTATCTGTGTAATACCTTACTTGACATTTTCAACCATTTTCTATCTTATTTCTATCTTCTAGTTTTTTTTTTCCCTAAGGTTTGTATTTTTACCCTTAGTTGCTTATTTTCCTCCTAGTTTTTTTTTTTTCCTATTTTGTGGGTTTAAAATTATTGTCTTCCTACATCTTTTCTATCTTCCTATATCTTTTTTATCTTTATTCTTTTTAACTTTCTATACTTCTGTCTTTAAAGTTTTTCACTTTAAATTTTTAATCTTCTTTATCTAAATATCTTTTATCCTATTATCTTCCATTTTTTTTAAAGTAATGCCTTTAAGATTAAGCTTCTTTCCTCCATCATGAAGGCATTTTAACCACCTTTAATTTAACCTTTTAAAGCCTTTTAATTATCATCTATACTGTACTTTTAAGTGTACTTTTTCACCACCTACAACTTCACTCTTTTAAACGAGGCTTAGATTTTGTTTAAATCACTTCAATGTTAGTTTACATGGCTGCCCTTCAACCAAAGGCTTTTTTTTTTTAACTCCATTGAGAAGCTTTGTCTCAATCTGCCATGTACAAATACCTTTTTCTTGTTTCTTCCTTTCTCAAGCTTTTAAAGTAAGTCTAGTTTCCTCAAAATCTTTTTAAATGGCATTTTACACCTTTTTACTTTACCACAGAGATTATCTCATCTAGAAACATTTCTTTCTTTTTCCTTTAACCTTTTATATTAAAATATATTTCCACATCTAGAATTTTTTTCTATCTCTTTTTTAGCCATTAACCCTTTTTATAAATTCACATTTTGAAACAACTCTTATAAAATTTCTGATTTAGACAAATTACTCCACTTTAATAAAATGAAAGACTTTCATGTTTTTTATGATACTATAATACTATAATTGAAACCCAACTGAAACTTCTTATACTCTTTGTATATAAATTACACATGATAGAATCTTAACTCTTAGTAACCTTGTTTTAGCAAAGACACAGACCAAAGCAATATTAAACCTTTTTTCCATTCACCAATTTATGAAAACACACATGCTTAAATATATTACCTTATGTAACTTAATAAGTAAAGAGTGGTTGATGTTTCAACATTTTAGCTTTGTAAATTAATCAGAACTTTGTAGAAACCAAGATCTTAGACAAGTGTAGCAAACAGAACTAGCCATCTCTTTCTTGTTGAAGAAAAATCCTTCTACAGGATACCATGGTGGTCCCATTGATATACTTAATAACTCGTCTTTAAAAAGCCATGGGCTACATTTTTGTATTGTATCAACATATGCCCTAATTGTTCTTGGTCTCACTGGGGTGCCTCCTTCCTCTAACAATTTCTCTTGCTCGGAGGTGAACAACTTCAAACCTTGAGTCAACCATTTTCCCCAGTTTGCCTGAGAAAGTTCTAGGAACAGGCAACTTGAAATAAAAACAAAATAAGTCAAAACAAGAACACATTGTTTTTTGAATTGGTCACCCATTCTTTCGCTCTTCTTCAGGGGTGAGAAATTTCACTTACCTTTAAGCTTCAGAAGTTCCCCGCACGGGCCGCCAAATGCCGCAGTCTGGCTGGGCACACAATCACGAGCCACCACACAGCTTGTAGATTCAAACAGCAACTCTTTATTCCCGAACTCACACCAGCCGTCTACAATCACGTTCTGGGGAAATCCACGTTCTCTGCCCAAATCCACGTTCTCTGGGCTTCTGTCTCCCAAAATATACTGTCTGAATCCCGTGAGAACTCAAGGGGAACTCAGGCAGCAGGATACGCCCTATTCCCAGCAGGAATAATCTTAAACCTTAAACCTGGAACCTAAACTGGGAACGCCCTAAACAAGATTATCTTAAAACCGGGAACACCCTAATCTGCCTTGGTCCTTGAGCAAGGTTAAGTACATTCAATGTTACTGCAACATGGGGTATGCTGGCAAGGAAATTGTCATACCTACTTGGCTAATGGCTCCCAGCACTGCTTAGCTTCAAATATGCCCTCTCAGCACACTCTAACTTCTCCAGGTACCTCATTCAAGAGCTCAAATCTTTCTGTAAAATTTAGGATTATTGTTCTTCCCAGCTCAATATTAAGAGACATAAAACAATAGACAGGAAAATTAATAGAGATGGGAGTATGGAGACCTTAAAAGCCTCTGAAGTGATCAGTTTCTTGGAATTCACATAATTTCTGGAAGATCTGTCTGATACTTTATGGAAAACAATTCTCTCCAGAATTATAATCTATTTGAAATTAGGGATTATGTTTCCCAAATTTAACTCTAAGCTGTAATATAGAGAATACATGTTCATAAAATGTGAATTGTTAGTAAGCAGATTACTAATGTCATTTGTGTTCTATTATTACTTTTTACTGTTATCTAAAACATTCTACTTAAAGCACATTATTTTGATGAGTAAGATCCAGTGGACTTCATGCACTGGTAAATGTTACTCATAGTCTGAGATGCCTTATTCATCCAAAACTAATAATAAGAATAAATTTACAATGACATTGCTTCAACCCATTTCTATTTTTCCTCTTTCTTATCTTGTTTGTCTTGACTTACATTCAGGAGTTTGTATCACAGATTCCCAGCTTCAAAAGCCAGGTGTCCTCTCTGGCTATTTTTTTAATGCTTTTCCTTTTCAATGCTGGGCTAAACTGATCATCTAAATAACAGGAGGTTTCCATATCAATAGCATGGATCCTAGTTGGCTTTTGAGTTGTGCATTCATCCTCAAGATCTGAAGTCATTAACAACATCTTTTGCTCTAGATTGCAAATCAGGCAGTGTTTATGCCCACATCCTGACACCAGCTTTTCATATGATACTATGATCCTTGATTTTGATACTTCAAACTACGTGTTTGTCTAGTTTATTAGTCCATAGCATATATCATTGTTAAAATTTTCATATTCCCTCTCCCTTGGGGCTCTATTATTTCTGCCAGCATCTCTTTCAGGTTATTTGATTACAGCTTTCATTGCCACTGAAAAAATAATCACCAACAATGTTCAACCTGTTACAACTGCCTTTTCTACTCTCCGCCATTTTGTAGTTTTTTGGCCTACTGTCAAACTCATGAAAATTTCAATATAATAGCCTTTAACCAGCTGCTGCATTCTGTTAGGATTTCTTTCACCTTTTTATGTTGCATACTCCCATATGGGTAAACCAAACAGAGCCAAGAGCCAGGACTCTCTTGCTTTCTTAATGAGTTAGAAAACTATTCTTCTATGTTCTGGACTGTCCAAAGCATTGAGGAATCCCAAACCTACATGCAGGGTGTTCCAACATAGATATCACAATAAGAGAATAAGAAAGAAAGAAATAGAACATTGGGTCAGATCAATAGGGCAACCAGAACCAACCCAGAATTCTGTCTCATATGAAGGCACTGGTAGTAGTTTTGCCAGTTAACCTAGTAAGCTTAATTTTAAAAATTAAGGTACATCATGACCATTTCTTGTCTGTTTTGTTTTGTTTTGGTCCCAGAGATTGAACCAAGGGTGCACTACCACTGAGGCACCTCCCCTGTCTTTTTCTTTTCTTTTCATGTGAGTCAGGGTCTGGCTAAGTTGTCGAGGCTGTTCTCAAACTTGTAATCCTCCTGCCTCCGCCTCCGAAGTCACTGATATTACAGTCATGAGGCACCATACCCAACTCATGACCATTTCTTAATGATGCATTATAAATCAATTGGCAGTGAGTTTATCCAATGGTGTCTTAAACTTTTGCCAATTTTCACCTGACCTTGTCTTAGAACTAAGTTCCATAGATATACTGACATCTGTATAAATCAAGGCATGTTTTAATTTCTCTTGAATCTACATCTTTTAACCTCAACAAATGGCCCCAATTAAGTGCTTTGGAATTCAATGAATACATTTCTGTTTACCCAGAGTTGACTTTAACCTTACATCCCCCACTAATGCTTTTCATTTTCATCTTCCTGGTCTGAGAAATTCTAATCCTTTTTAGTCTGTCCTTGAATGAAAGATAAGCTCTCCCCTTGATCATCTTAGTTGCTTCTCCCTGGATCTTTTCCAGTGCTTTAATATCTTTCTTGGGATATCGTGACTACAAAGGTCCAAATATTGGTTATTAAATTTGTTAGCATTGTCTCTAGTCTCCACTCACTCGTGAAGAAAATAAATGCTATTCACTATCTCCCATTGGTGCAGAAATAAAGAAACCAATTGAGGTCATAACCTGTTCTACATATATTAGTTCTATCGTTGATTTTCTGCTACTTTTCAGTAATACCAGATGAATTGTTTGACCTTATATTTCTGCCAGCTGTCCCTTAGGAAGGATTTGATTTTTAGACAAGCTGGTTCTTTCCCTCCTTCAAAGAAGCTGTGGTTGCTAAATATTGGGAAGAATTTACTAATGAAACTCAGTAGTAAACCTGCTGACTCAATCAGCAATAATACATTTCATCCACTTCCTTTCTAAATATTTCTGAAGCACTTCACAAAAGAGTGAAAAATGGGGTTCAGGGGAAACTAATTGTTCAGCTCTTTTTTTTTATACATGCAGTGCTCAAAAAGCAGCTCATATCCACAGGAGTGTATCCCTCTTCCTACTGGTTATTCTGGATATTGTATATAAATTATTGTGCATGACCTTGACCTACCCTTCTCTCTGCTCTCAATCCCAGGCATGTTTGTACATAAATTTATATTATCTGAGTTTTTTTGTTGTTTTTGTTTTCTGTTCTTTGGGGTTTGTTTGTTTGGTTGCTTGCTTGCTTTTGGTACCAGGAATTGAACCCAGGGGCAGTTAACCACTGAGCCACATCCTCATGCCGTTTTTTGTATTTTAATTGTGAGACATAGTCTCACTGAGTTGCTTAGGCCCTTGCTAAGTTGATGAGGCTGGCTTTGAAGTCATGATTCTCCTGCCTCAGTCTTTGCTGGGATTACAGGCATGTGCCACTACACCTGGCTCTAAGTTTTTTTGTTTGTTTGTTTAGCTTTCTGGTGGTTCCTGCTTAGCAAATGGCAGTATAAAACCTCCCTGGCTGAAGTCAACACTCACTTTACTCAACATTATTTATACCATTGCTATGTCTGATGAAATCACTTCTATCTTCATATGGCCTACCATTCCTATAGCTCCAGTGGTATTAGTATTTGACTCTCCACATGAAATTGTGGCCATTTACCTAGACTTATCTTTTGGCACTGGTGTTCTTCTGTATGTTATAGGTCTACATTTCTGGTTTAAACTCACAGATCTTGCTCTGGTTCTTAGAACCCATGTTTCCTAACTGCAGTAGCCTCTGAGTCTTGACACCACCTCCCCATTATGCCATATTACTTCTATAACTACATTCTAGGCAGTTTTTCTGATTTTAAATCCCTCCCGTGTTTAAAGCATATCTTATTTTCATTCTTGTTCCAGCTCCTCTTTGTGCCAGGAGTTGCTCTAAATCAAGTTTGGGTTGGTTTATTTGTTCTTTTGAATTTATTTTTTGTTTTTTTCAGAACCAGTATTTACATACAGAGGCAGTAGTGGTTAGTTCTGTCTTAGCTTTAACAGCAATTGACATGTTCAATATCTCTGTGTTATCTGGTTTTCAGATAACAATCCTGAATCACTTATTTTCTCTGGTCCTTGGTTTCTCCTTCTATCATCTAAGGAGGCTGACATCACAGGTCATTTCCAGTATCTTCTGAAAATGACATGGGCTTTTGCTATAAAGTACACTGGATTGTGGCCTCTGATTTGGAAAACATTCCCCCACTTTCTCACTCCTATTTGGCTATTCTGATAATTATACGGGTGTCCTGACATTTACTTTGAAAACTGGTTGAGTTTTGGCATAGGTTTTCATAGAATATGAACACATCCTGTAACATATAATTTTGTGCCATTTCTGGTAAGATCCTTCTCATTTATATTTTCCTTCAATCTACACCTTTTAGCAGCTGACAACATGATATTAAATAGTGGAAATTTTAAATAGACCAGGCAACAGAACCCTTAAAATCCAGTTCCAGCTTCTCTATCAACTAGCATTTAACCAATCCTGAATCACTTATTTTCTCTGGTCCTCAGTTTCTCCTTCTATCATCTAAGGAGGCTTGACATCACGGGTCATTTCCAGTTCTGACATTCTCTGGTTGTATGAATGTTGACTTTGAAATAGAAATTGTTTGTGACAGTTTTTCAGAGGAGTGAAAATGAATCTTCATATCACCCTTGAGGATTCTTATTGCACCATCAATCTTATCAGGATAGAAAGGACAAATAACATTAAAACTTTTATTTAACCATTTAGCACCATTGATGATATAAAGTGGATGTAACAGAGAATCAGCTGTCTAATTTGAGCTGTCAATCTCTGAGGACGATGGTGAGTATCTCTGGATAATTAAATTTTTAAAATCACTGCCAAAAGCCTGGTGCTCTGACTTTTCAAAAGGCTTTAGTACACAAAGATAACCCAGAGGTCAGTCATCTCTGCTGTGCTTTCTCCTCCACAGTTTGATGGTTCCAAAGGTCACATTGCCTGAGTCTCATTAAGCTCTGGAACCACAATGAAGGCACAGTAATGCTTAATTGATGATATAATCATGAAAACAACTAAAGTTAATATATTAACTGAAAGACAGTGAATGAGATGCCATGGTGCTTTGCAGAGTATTGATTCTGCTATTCAGTTTTGCAAAGCTTGTTGAGAGATGTAGATATTGGTATCTTCTGTGTCTCATAGACTCATTAAAACAACTCACATCCAAGCCAGGAGAGGTTGCACATACCTGTAATCACAGCAATTGCAGAGGTGAAACAGGAGGATCACAAATTTGAGGCCAGCCTCAGCAAAACCCTCAGCAACTTGGCAAGACCTTGTCTGAAAATGAAAAATAAAAAGGGCCATTCTGGTATGGTAACACA